GCAATCATATCAAGCATCTCAGATCACAATGGCATGAAATTAGAAATCAACTACAGTAAAAACACTCAAAAACATTCAAACACATAGAGGCCAAAGGCATGTTTTTAAACAATAAATGGGTTACCAATAAGATCAAGAAAGAAATCAAAAACTTCCTGGAAATAGCCCAGCCGGGCGTGGCTTAGCGGCTGAGCATCGACCTAGGATCCAGGCTATCAGGGTTCGATTCCCTGTCAGGGCACATGCCCTGGTTGCGGGCTGCAGCCAATCAATGACTCTCTCATCATTGATGTTTCTATCTTTCTCTCTTCCTCTCCTTTCCTCTCTCTGAAATCAATAAAGATATATTTAAATAAAAAAATAAAAATAAATAAATAAATAAAAGCTTCCTAGAAACAAATGAAAATGAACACACAACCCAAAATCAATGGGACAGAGCAAAAGCAGTCCTGAGAGGGAATTTCAGAGCACTACAGGCCTACCTCAAAAAGTAAGAAAAATTTTTAATAAACTATTTAACCCTACAACTAATAGAATTAGAAACTCCTCTGTGAAGCTATCCAGACCAGGGCTTTTGTTTGCTGGGAGTTTTTTATTACTGCTTCAATTTCATCCGTTGTTATTAGCCTATTCAGGTTTTCTGATTCTTCCTGATTCAGTTTTACATGATCTCACTCATATGTGGAATCTAATAAACAAAACAGACAGGAACAAAATAGATCCAGAGGCACAGAAGCATGGAACAGACTTATGAATCTCAGTGGGAAGGCAGGGGTGGGTGAGTGGGTGGGGAGAGATTAATCAAAGAACTTATATGCATATATGCTTAACCCATGGACACAGAAAATAATGTGGTGAAGGCCTGTGGGGGCGAATGCGGAGTGGGAGAGATCAATGGGGGGAAAGTGGGATATCTGTAATACTTTCAACAATAAAGATAAATAAAAAATTAATTAAATTTTTAAAAAGAAAGAATGTGAAGGGGTTAAACAAAAACATATATATATACATAACATGTAGATACAGACAACAGTGTGGTGATAGCCAAATGGAAAGTGGGTGGGAGCTAAGTGGAAGAGGGCCAAGGGGGAAAAATGGAGACAGAAAAAGACTGCTTTGGGCACCATGCAGTGTGCAGATGATGTTTTATTGCATTCCACACTTGAAACCTGTTTGGTTTTGCAAACCAAAGTCACTCCAATAAATTCAATTTACAAAAAGAAAAACACAAATTAAAGTAAATTGTAGCCCTCAGATCCAGCTTCATGGTTTTCCCTTTTCATGTTCGAAAGGTAGAGTTTCACATAGTACATGGACGTCCAGAGTTGGCTTACTGTCCACACTGGCGAGCAAAACAGCAAGAGGCCTTATTTAACGTTTTATGACCCTAAATACCATAGCATGCCAGGCCCCTTTCTCTAGATACAGAATTGCATGCCTACATCTTCTTTTACTTGACCCTTTGTTTTTCACGGGACTGTACAAGTTTCTCCCTAATTCTATTTTTTCTACCTTTCCGGTCAAAGGATGTTAGTTTCATTCTTCACCACACTTCCTATCTCCCTCCCTAACTCTTTTTGTGTCTAGTTGAGTTATATGAGAGCAGAGATTGTGTTTGTTTTATTCACGGCTGTATTATTAGCACCAAGCATAATACTTGGTATAGAGAATTTATTAAATACATATTTTGGGAGGTTTGAATAAAATGTTGAGGTTGGGTTTCCTTTGGTTATTTCATCTGGAAAATACTTATTACTTTATCTAATTTTTCTTTCCTTTGGAATAAAGTAGACCTGTTCAAGGCATACCAGAGCAGGAACACAGACACCAAACTGCAGGACAACAAAAATTGTGAAGAGCATGGTTGCTTGTTTCAATGCAAGTGAGTGAACAAGGAAAACCTTTCCAAATTTATAGATACTGACTTTAATTCTTTACCTGCTATTGATATAGGAAAAGGTCAAGTTTTGATTTGATTTTGTTTATATAAGAATCAATTTTTCTTTCATTTGTTACTTAATATTCATCAAGCTAACTGTTAATGTCAAAATAGACATAGTATCTGCTCACAGTAAAGAAATTCAGAGAGAAGTACCTGGTATCTTATCACATACCCTTCCATGGCTTCTCAGATTTAGCCTTGATGAAAAGAAAAAGCCATGATAAATAGCCTGTGTTTGTGTAAATCTTGACCCATGTGCCCTCTGACTCCTCAGATGACTGAGTGGGTGGAAGCACGCACATGCATTGTGACAGTGTGTGCATAAACACTGTCACATGTAAGGCCAGAAGCAGGGTTACATAGAGAGGGCAAGTCACAAGTTGTCAGGACTCTAAATTGAAGTTTTGTTTTTATCAGGGCCCAAGAGAATCAGAGCCACGTGAAGTCATGGCCCTTAACCACCACCTCTCCCACATACTAAGAGGAGAATTCAGATGCCCATTGCAGTCAGCTGGTCAGATTGCTTCTAGCATGCTTCTTGCCTCCACTTCACTCCACTGTAGGAGATCTCTCTGTTCTGATTGAAGCTGAGTGAGATCCTTGAATGTAAGATATTTTTATCGCCTTTCTACCCATACCACCCCCAAACTTGAGACTCCCAAGGTTTAGCACAAAGCTTAGTACATGCTCCATAAATGTTTGTAGACTGAATTAATGAATGAATGAATGTTGCTCTGGCCAACCCTGCAGCTTCCACACCCTGCATAACTGCATGCAGTACTGACCCTGAAGATAGGAAAAGCAACATAACTGATGCTGTAAGAAAATGTTTCTTGTTTATACTGCTGCATCTTGATCTTTGGCTGATCTAAGCACAAAGAGAGCTCTTTCAGTTCAGAGAAAGGAGGTTTATGATGTGTGGGAGAGCTAAGAACAATGGGCTCAATTGATACACTGGAGACTCTCTCAGTTTCTGAGAGCCTGGAAACTTCATCTATAGATCAATCCCAGAGGGCAAAGCCAAACAAGGGGAGACAAACACAACTTTCTTGGGAACTGGCTTTCTGCTCCTCTGAGGCAAAAATACATTCACTCTATAGCACTCTGAATCAATTCTCCAAAATACAGTGCTATGTCATTGTTTGCCAGTGTCTAAAAATAAGTCCTTGTGTCCTATCTTTATTCTTTTTGTCTTAAAGTCATCCACCAGACTTGCTTGCAGAATATTAACTGTGGTGAAGCAGAAATCAAGAGATTAAATTGAAACTATTTTTGAACAGAGCTCCTTAACTGATGACTGACTTGTTGCCCCCAGCTAAAGCCTCCTTTCTTTCCAGTCATGTTCCTTGCCAGCTGCAACTATGAGACAATGAATCTACAGCTAATTTTAAGCCAGCTTTCTTTAGGCTGGTCATTAGAGTGCTGTCCAAGAGTACTAAATTCTAGCTGAGGATTGTGACAGGCATTTAATGCTGTGTCCCAAGGGCTAGTGGGTTGACCAATCAGAGTAGTAGATGTTACTAATTATTTTAATACTGTCTTGCTATAAACTGTTTAAATTTGTATTGCTCTTACCATATTTGCTCTGCCTTGACATTAAACCTTTCATCCAGTACTTTCCAGATACATGCACAATCCTCATGTATGAGGCATTAAGGGCTCATTATTGGGAAATTCAAACAATTCAAAGAGCTAACAATAACATAATCCTAAAGACACTGGAGTGGAACACCGTTATTGTATTAAAGAAGTAACCATGTTTGACTCTGAATTAGCATACCACTCTGAAATCCATCTTAGGAGAAAAGAAACCCTAAAACAGGCAATGAATTGGTATCAAGATCTGAGTTCTAGTCCAAGCTCAGAAGTGTACTTTTTGGGTTTCTTTGGGTAATTAATTTTGCCTCTATTTCTTAGTGTCACCAGCTATAAAAACAGAAGTGATTTATCTACTCTATTTTAGAGAATTGTGAGAATGACTTGGATGACCTGAAAATGAATGAACTCCTTGGACAAATCACAATAAAGTTACAATTATTCAAGTTCAATTGTGGGGTTAAATGGAACAATTCACTCAGAGGACACAATGTTTGATTGAGAACATTCTTAATTTTATTTTCTTTAATTTTATAAAATACATTTTGTAAGATAAGTTTCTAAAAGTTTATCTTTATGAGTGTTAAAATTGAAATTCTATATCAGAAATGAAGGAAACTCTTGCAGTTGATTAACTCTCTTCATGTGTGTATATGTGTGTATGTATGCCTGGGAGGTTTTCAGGGAAGGGTTGGTTATTTGTTATGTTATTAAATCAAAACAAAACACAAGGTATGGATTACTTCACTTTCATTGATCTTGATTGGTTTCTTACAGAACCTTTTCTACCTCCTCCCTTTATGCAGCCTGGAAGCTTATCTGGTATACCGGTCTAAAAACAAATATCAAGCGTCTCTGTAAAGATCTTACATCTCCTTAAACATTGCTGAAACCACTTTGGG